AGGGCAGAGGGTGGGGTGTGAACCGGGTGCAGGGGGAGCTATGGGGGGAAAAAAGAGGAACAAATGTAATAATCTGAACAATAAAGATTTAATTAAAAAAAAATTACTGCAAGCAGCAGAGTAAAGATTTAAAATGACTGTGCTTGTTTCTGTTCAATAAGTATACTCAATTTATTAAACAATTACTGGGGTGCCAGGTACTAACTACATTAGGCCACAGAAACGCAATAAAGAACCAAACACAAGGTCCTCACCACCTTGAAGCTTTTATTACAGTGTGTGTGACAGATAATAGTAAAGGGATAATTGATGAGACAATTACTGATTACAATGAGTAAGATAAAAGAAATAAGAGTATCTCAGTTAGTTAGAGTGTCATCCCAATATACCAAGATTGCATTAATAAGTGGAACCAATGAATGCATTAAGTGGAACAACAAATCAATATTGTTTTTTCTCTCTCTCCCTTCCTCTCTCTCTCTCTCTAAGCAAAAATAAATAAATAAGTGGAGTGGAGTGGGTGGGGTAATATCAGGAAAGGTCTCTCTCAAGAGACATGAGCTGAAACCTGAATGATGAGGAAGAAGCAGTCAAGCAGATGTTAAGAGCAGAGCACTTGAGCAGAGCCCCAATCACAGTCACACCAGTATGTTAAGAACCACAAGCCAGCGTGACTGAGGAGCTAGGTGAGCATGATGTGAGATGAAGTCAAGCAGACAGACGTGCCAGATCACATCAGGCTACAGTAAAGGTATGAACTTTATTCTAAGGGCAATGGGAAGCAATTGAATAGTTTGAATAAACCAGGAGAGGGATAAGATCAAATTTACATTAAGGACTGCTCAGGCTGCTGTGTGAAGAACTGATCAAAGAGGGGCAAGAGTTGAAGCAGGAAGTCAAGTTAGAAAGCTCTAGTGTAGGATTAAGCTACAAAGATGACAAAAGTAGATAAACATGGAATATATTTTAGAATTAAGGTCCTACGACTTGTTGATAGTTTGAGTGGATGAAGAGAGCAGTGAGAGAAAGAGAAAAACCAAGAGTGCCTCAAAGATCATTAATGCACTGAAATAAAGAAAATTCATAGAAATATCATGGTATCTGCTGATTTAGAATCCTAGGTGCCACTGAAGAAGCAAAGGGGTTCTTGGCATTTGCTAAGTGAACCTAGTTATTTCATAGTTTCATACAAGTTATTTCAAGAGTACTTGACTTGGAATCCATGGAACTGGGCTCACATCTGACTCCTTCCTGCTTTTTGATCTTGGGCCAGTCGCCTCTTACCAATTTTAAATGGGAATGCCAACGTCACTTCATTGGGTTGCGGAGAGAAATAATTTCTATGGGAAGTACCTGGCAAGCAGGAGTATTACAAAAAAACAAGCCAAATTCATTACCCTCCTTCCCCACCCCACTCCCACCCCCCGGCAAATAATCTCCAGAGGTACTGGTTTGAAACTGCTAATAAACAATTCCCTTTAGCCTGATAATCAACAGGCACTCATAAAATAGTTTCTAGGACACAATTATGACTTATTTCTAAGTCTGATCTTATGTTAAGAATTTTGATCACTGCTATTTTCCAGATCAGTAGTGTTAACATTTTATAATTAAAATTTTTTTTTTCAGCCATAAATAATCCTATAGCAACTAGTAAGTCTGCTTTTGTCATGCCTTCGGGATCCAAAAATGTCTCATAACAGAATATTTTCATTACCTTTTAAGGATAAATATAAAGTTTAATTGTCATTGTAATTTTTATTTTAAAATGCTGTGGGGATTTTTAAAAAATTGTATCACATGTTTGGCTAAGGTTTTATTTTCTTCAGCACAGTATGAACTCAAAATTGGGAACCAGCACTGCTTTAGTGAAAATCTCAGCAATCTGAAGAGCTTCAGGGCCATTTGTTTAATCTAGCTCTGCTTCAACACCATATATCACAGATGGCACTGAAGTTACGAAACGCCTAGGTTCTGGGGTCAGACAGATTTGAGTTCTCACCACAGCTACTGCCACTTACAGCTTTGCTTACTTAGGCAAATCTCCTTAGCCCTTAAACCTCGTTTCCCAATGTTGAAGATGAGATTAATACCTATACCTCATTGGACTGTTATAATGGTACTAGAGGCTCGGTGCACGGACACCGGTGGGGTCCCTAGGCCTGCCCCGCGGGGATCAGCTGAAATCGGCTCTCCGACATCCCCCGAGGAGTCCTGGATTGCAAGAGGGTGGTTCTCGAGTAACACACCCTGCAAACGGTCCCCTCCTCTCTGGTTCCTGGTGCATCACTCAAGAACCGCAGCTGCCAAGTCACCGCAGCTCTGCAGCTCCTGCATTGAGCGTCTTGCCCCCGGTGGTCATTGTGCATCATAGCTACCAGCTGGTCAGCCGGTAGACAGTAGCTTAGGCATTCTAGTACAGTGCCTGGCACATAGTGTCAATTATTATTAAGTATTTCATTAGTTTTTCTTCTTCCATTTTAGGTATTACATACTTGAAGAAAAGTTGGAAAATTACAAAGAAATTAATATTTTTAAAATTACCCTAAACCCCTGTAACTTTTGGGACTACCAGCCTCAGATTTTAAGATTCCCCAGATAATTGTTTTTGATAGATACAAATTGCTTTCTAAAAGGTCTACTGATTTATACTTCCGTAAAACAGGTATGAATGACTGCCCTCATTGGTGTACATTCAAAAATGGCTCATCTTTAATTTTTAGATACTTATTCTCAGAAGCACTGAAGAACGAAGGATGGTTCCCAACCTCAAAATGTTCACGGAGACTACCGAATAAGACACTGGAGATTCTCCCGTGGCCTCCTGTCCCCAAGAGGCTACTGGGAAGTATCTGGTCTATGAAGATATACGGACCAGCCCCTGGGCCGCACGCTTGGCTGGAATTTCTCCTTTGCTCAGACAGAGCAGAATCATCTCAGTTAACCCATGAAAGGTTTGAAGACGTCTCCTAACTTCTGGGTCAATCTTCAGTTATGCAAAGTGGACTATTTGTGAGGCATTTGAAATAATCTACTATAACTCCTTTAATGTAATTTCTGGGTTTTCTCCTAAAGATTTCTCTGCCTCTAGATTTTCAAGTCTTAAAAGGGCTAACCCAGGTGAAATTTCACTTGTGTGCACAAAAGTAGAAGCTTCACGTAAACATTTGAGTGTGTATACATAAATATGCATAGGGATGTGCACATATGTATTATGTGAAAATTAAGTATGGTACATGTGACATGTGATGGCTGAACCAAGTAAAACTCCTAATTCCTACACAGAAGTAGAATGTTAGACCTGAAAGGGACCTTGTAGATCATCTCTAAACCAACCTTTTGTAATCAGAAGAAGAAATAAGGCTCAAACAGAATATAAGTATCCAGTTCCCAGTGCCACAACAGCCGAATTCTGGACCCAGATCAGCTTCTCCATAGCGTTTTTTCCACGGCGCTGCAGTCCTTCTCTATCAAGACTTGATTTAATACCTAGTAATGAAACACTACCCCATAAATCAGTTGTACCAAAACAGGCACTAGCACCGTTTCCAAGGCAAAGGACCTTTTATTTGCATTTCGCTTCAAATATAAAGAGGCATCAAGGTAGTAGTAACTGTCTGCTGATGCCACCCATTCCTTTTACAAATAAGAAACTGTGTTTCACAGAAGTTATGTGTCCCCAGGCTTTGGGGACAGATAGGTACTTCATTTCCTAAGTGTATGACTTTGGTCAAAACACCCAACTCTCTGTATCTCAGTATGAAGATTCATAATATGGCATAACACCTAAACTCCCAAGGTTGGTGGAAGAACTAATTGTACTTAGCGCAATACCGGGCACAAAGCGAACTCTCCGTAATAAAAGGTTATTACTGTTATTATAAACCATTATAGTAAATAATGTCATATGCTTGGCAAACACAGAACTAGAACTCCACCTGCCTCCCAGGTCTTGGTCCTTTCAGCAACACCAATTTCGGGCATTTGACGACAATCTGGGATGATGAACAGACGGGGCTATACCTGAACAGCCAAGAGCGGCCACGAACTACAAGCGAGGCGTCGCCTAGAGCGCAAGGTCACCCAGCGAATCGAAATTCCAAGGGAGCCTTTCGTCGGTCGCCAGGAAGGCACACAGATCCAGAAGGCGGAGCGGCTCCCGCCGCCGAAGACCAGGCGAGGCTGTGGTCCCTCCCCCAGGGGCGCCGAGGCCCAGACTGTGCTACCCCGGCCTGCTGCGGCCTTCAGCGGGGGCTGGTTACGGCCTAAGGTCCAGGGACATGAGGCCGGCAGCAAGGTGGCTCCGCGCCGCCGACACTTCCGACACCGTTTTTCCAAAGAGCCAAACTCCGCCGGGGCCAGGAAGCTTCCGGTGTCCCCGACGTGACGTAGCAGCAGCGCGCGCGATCCTCACATGCTATTGGTCACTTCTTCCGTCCAATGGGCGGAGCGGTACCCGACACCACTGAGCAGCCAGCAAGCTCTTGCACTGTCTCCTTGGGCAGTTCAGCCATCTCCATGGTGACCAGTCCCGGGTCACCCATTTGGCTTCCAAGCCCGCTGTTGCGTCATTGTTAGGCGCCGGAAGCGATCGTTCCTGTGCCGGGGCGTGGTGGCTTACACCTGGCTGGGGCCGGCGTCCTCGAAGTTAGACCGACCCGGGTTGGCTTCGGCCGGTGGGGGACCCTATCAGGCCCCAGAATAATGGCGGTGTTTCACGACGAGGTGGAAATCGAGGACTTCCAATATGACGAAGACCTGGAGACGTATTTCTACCCCTGCCCTTGTGGCGATAACTTCTGCATCACTAAGGTAACCTCAGGTCCCCCGGCCGCCCCCTAGAGCAGGCGCGTTTTGCTCTCTGGTGATTCTTCCGCCGCCCCGTACCCACGCGGCTCTTGTTATTCACGCCCTTTTTATCCTGTGTATGGAGTCCCCCCCCCCCACCCCCAAATTTATAGTCTCAGCTGTCAGTAGGCGTTTCCTTCTGGCATTTAGTCAGGCCTAGTGGGGTAGGGGAAGGGAGGGGCTGGATGCCCGGGAGCCATCAGACTTCTCGCCATCACCCCGACTTAGCATCCCTCTTCGGGTTCACCTTCCTGGGATACTGCTTTGCAGGAAGGGACTCGTTTTGTCTTCCCAGAGATTTTGAGGCGACTGAACCTTAAACAACCTTCCGAAGTATTTCCCCGGGTGACGCTGCCAGGGGAAATTGGGGTTGGCATTTCTCTGGGAAAGCCTCTTGGACCCTCACCTACCTTGTGGGGGAGGCAAGTCACGAAGGAGCTTGCCCCTAGGGGTGGGAGGGCTTGGGGGGAGTTTGCAAAGGGAAGGCAATGCTGATCATACAGTGTTTGATTCTGTTGTAGGAAGATTTGGAGAACGGGGAAGACGTGGCGACGTGTCCGAGCTGCTCTCTCATTATAAAAGTGATTTATGACAAAGTAAGGGGTCTAACTTTAAAAGGTGGGGGAGGGTTGTGGTGCAAGAACCTTGAGCAGCCTGTCTGTAATGTGTATGTGCAGGAGAATACTTTCTAACAGTGTGTTAGGTAAATGCTATGTTTTTTAAAACCAATTTTAAAAACCATTAGTAAACAGCCGTATCGTAAATTAAAATCTTAAAAGCTCAAATGTCCCTCCTTTGATTGCAATGTGTAAATACAGATGTAACCCGCCCTTCTCCCCCTTCTCCCGAGCATTATCTCAATTCGTTGAGGTCCTGCTTCCCAGCATATGTCGACAGTTTGACTCAAACTCACAAAAATTCTTTACAGGTTTCAGTGTTTTTTTTTCGTTAACAATAAGTAATTAAAATTGTTCAGAGCACCTAGATTTATTTTGAAGGGAACAATTGTATAGTATTTCTTACTTGGCTTAGATAAAACTATAGTATATTGTTTGAGATATAATCATAGTTTCAGTTTTATAATTTCATTTTAGTCTTCAGTTGTCCTTTTGTTTTTCCTCCAAGGACATTGAAAATAGAAAACTAAATAAATGTTATTACTTCCCATCCCAACTTTTGGTCAGTACTTTGAACAAAATCTTAAACTTAACATACTCTTTTCTTTTTAAGATATAATTGACATGTAATAGCTTGGCATTTTTAAGGATGGCCTCTAACAAGATTAAAGGAAAGGTGGGAACAAGGCACTTTGCCTCATGAGAAAAGCAGGCTAGCCCTAACCGGGTTGGCTCAGTGGATAGAGCATCAGCCTGCGGACTGAAGGTCCCAGGTTCGATTCCGAGAAGGGCATGTACCTGGGTTGCGGGCACATCCCCAGTGGGGAGTGTGCAGGAGGCAGCTGATCGATGTTTCTCTCTCATCGATGTTTCTAACTCTCTATCCCTCTCCCTCTCTGTAAAAAATCAATAAAATATTTTTTTTTTAAAAAAGAAAAGCAGTCTATAATTTAGGCTATAATTAGAAGTTTACGGATTATTCTTGTATTAAAATGTGTTCTGGAACAAAAAGAACAGGTAAGTGAGGTCAGGAGTGCTGGTATGAGATCGTAGCAGGCCTTATTGAGCAGAGATGGAACGTGGTAAGGGAGTGAGCTGTACACATTAGGGTTAAGAGCGGGTGGCAAAGGGAACGTTCAGTGAAGAAAAGGCAGAAACATGTTTGGTTTTATCAAGAAACAGCAAAGAGGCCAGTGTGACCAGAGCAGAGTAAGTGAGGGTGGGACTTGTGCAAGTTGAATTAGTGCAGTGGGGCCAATCACAGAGGTGTTGTGGTAAGGCAGCGGTTCTCAACCTGTGGGTCGCGACCCCTTTTGGGGGTCGAATGAACCTTTCACAGGGGTCGCCCAAGACCATCGGAAAACACATATATAATTACATATTGTTTTTGTGATTAATCACTATGCTTTAATTATGTTCCATTTGTAACAATGAAATTGGGGGTCACCACAACATGAGGAACTGTATTAAAGGGTCGCGGCATTAGGAAGGTTGAGAATCACTGCTCTAAGGACTTTGACTTTTCCTATGAGTGATAGAGGGAACCAATGGAGGATTTTAGAACAAAGGAATGCTGTGAACCAACTCAAGTTTTAAAACAGAGATTCCGGCTGCTTAGTTCAGAATAGACTACATAGGAGCAAGGATAGAGACAGGAAAACCAGGTAGGAGGCTATTAGACTAATCAAAGGAGGGGATGTTTCCCTGGGACCACGCTGCAGCAGTGGAGGTAGTGGGAGTGGTTGGATTCTGGATACACTTTAAAGGGTAAGGACTTTTTGTTTTGTTAATTCTCACCTGAGGATATTTTTCCCATTGCCTTTCAGAGAGAGTGGAAAGGAGGGAAGAAGAGAGAGAGAAAGAGAAACATCAATGTGATAGAGACACAACTGGTTGCCTCCTGCGCACGCCCCAACCTGGGAGTGGGGAGGGAACCCACAACCCTTCAGTGCTCAGGCTAATGCTCTGACCCTTGAGCAACACTAGCCAGGGCAAGGATCGATTCCGTACTGACTGGATATAGGATATGAGAGGAGTCAAGGATGATTTCAACATTTGTGACCTTCAGAACAGGTTTAGGGGCAGGAGTTGGACATACTATGTTTGAGAGGTCTGTTTTTCATCCAAGTAGAGCTGGCCAGAGGGCAGTTGGATATGTAAGTATGGAGTTCAAAGAGTGATCAATTGGCGCTATAAATTTGAAAGTTATCAGCATATAGCCTTTTAGTTGGGAGAAGTAATAATTTTGAAGAAAACAGACATTTGAATAGCCAAATATTGAAGTGGAGAACTTTTAGTGTAAGTACTAATTAATACAAAAACTTAAAAGGTATGGCAGTGTCTTTATAAATGTGATTTCTGAGAGGTGGGTGCTCTGTAGTGAAGATAAGCATGTTTGTTTACAAGATAAGGTATTTTATATATTAAATGTGAATTCATGACTAAAAACGGATTCAGTTCTAAGCTTATAAATCTGGTGCTGACATTGATTCTTTGAACAAAGATGAAGTGATGGAAAAACTTAGAGCTGGATTGATTCTGTAACAAGATGAAAATTTACTATTGATGCATTTGTGACACACTCAGTGGTTAAGGTAACTTTCTGTTCATTCTTAGGAGCAGTTTATGAGTGGAGAAACAGTCCCAGCCCCTTCCACCAACAAAGAATTAGTTAAATGCTAAACAAGGATTTTCGGGATCCAAATCCTGAACATTCAGGACTGAGCCAAGCTGGAAAAATCAAAAGCAAAGTTCCTGGCTTCCTCGTGGGACAGCTGCTTTGTAGTTTGCTGCTGTGGATTCTTTCCATCGGCTCTGAGTTCATCTCCAATTAAAGAAGCAAGTCCATGACATGACATACCTGGATTTCATGCTTAGAGCTTTGAATTGGAAAAAGTGTTCTTTATTTTCCACATGAATTTAAAGGAAGATAATTTCAAGTCAGTGCTTTCATTCCCTCAGTCTTGTTATTTTTATCTTATACGTAATTTATTATCTGATAACATCGTCTACCTCAAAGTCATTAGGATTCCTTCTTTTAAAACAGGATTTTATTTTTTTAATTATTAGGATTAGTAAAATTAGGCCTTTTTGAAATTGACATCAGGTTTGGTATTCTCACTTAAGAAAATGAGTTGCCTTGTCAGTACTACTGTGATGTTCCCACTCCAAACCAGTCTTCTGGGTCCGGCCATTAACAGAATGTTCCTCTTCTGTTAGGCACGTCTTTTCCATTGTACTTCATGCTCTGAGTTCTGGTCATGGTATTACAGAGATAACATAATAAGCTCACAGGTTTTTTTCCAGAGCTAAAAGTTAGAAAGAAAAGTCAAAAAGTAAAATAGTCAGAATATGGAGTTTCCTTGTCAGTGTTCTGCTTGTTTCTTGAAAATCGGGACAAGACAAATAGGAAAACAGCCCAGGAAGTGAAATTGGCAACAGAATGATGGGAGAAAAACAAGGCAGCTCAGTAAATTAAATGCTTCAATGTTGTCGCCAGATCAGAGCAAATAATATTTCTGTATCTGAGTTCTTGTTTGTAACTTGTAGACATGGTTAATACAAGTGCATTCTAGATAGGGGTTAACGTCAAGTCTG